TAAAGAGACTAGGGCTATAATACTTACTATCTAGAAACTCTATAAATACTACTAGATAAGTAAACTAACTATATACCCTAGATACTATACTATATACTCTCTAGAACTAGAAATATAAGTCCTCTTCTATATTTATAGGTTAATACTACTCTTATTATAGTTATATACTAAGTATAATAACCTTAGAATAATACTATACCTATAAATAGATATAGGCCCTCTATATATATATAATATATATAACTAATAATATATACTTATACTAGATAAGATACTTAAGGGTACTATAGAACTAGAGTAATATATTCTTTTAAAAGACTTTAATCTCTACTAGTAATAGTAGAGAGACCTAGCTATAGTTAGAGAAGAACTTAGAGTAAGGGAACTATATACCCGCTACTATAACTTTCTATATCTACTTATATCTATAGAATAAGTTATATAGAAAAAATATAAATAGAATAAAGATAGATCTATACTTAATCTTACCTTTACTATAGAGTATATTAGTTACTAGATCTAATACTAACATTATATAGGAGTACTATCTCTAGAGCTTCTAAGTTATCTATACTATTATACTTCTAAAACTAGAAAAGAGCTTTAACTCTCTAAAGGGATAGAGACTAATCACTCTTCTCTTCTACCTAGATAAGATACTAGAGACTATAATAGTAAAGAAGATAAGTACTATAGTATAGGAATATAATCTTCTCTCTCTAAACTAGAAGATAAAGATAGATAGCTCTCTAATAATAGCTATCTAATATATTATTAAAGTTATCTAGGCCGTATAGAAATAGAGATAGATAGTATTACTCCTCTCTCTTAATATAGCTAGAGCGTTTAATAAGGTAAACTATATAAGACTTATTTATAATCTCTAGATAAGATAAATACTAGAATAGATTATATACTTTATATAGTTATTCCTTATAGAAAGAATAACTTAGATATATATTTCTAGATACTAGAATAAATATAAAGAGATAGTATATAGTATTCTATAAGAGAGTACTATCTCTCTAATTCTATTCCTCTTCTTTATAATAGATCTTCTTTAAGAAATAAAGTATATAGAGATAGTTAGATATACTAATAATATATATCTTCTAGCTATTAATAATAATACTAACTAAACGTATAGATAACTAGAATAGAACTATAAGAGATACCTCTAGTAGATAAAATACTATAGAGTAAAGTTTACTCTAGAGAAATACTAGCTTATATACTTTATTAACTATTAAGGGAAATAGATAACTAGAGAAGGTAAATAACGCCCCTAGATTAATAAATTTAATAAATAGCTAGTATAAAGTATATATATACTTAGGGTTATACTAGATAATAAGCTTAAATAGAAACTATAAGTAGTATATACTATCCCTAGGGCCGTCTAGATAGAAGCCGCTATATAATAGATTATAGCCTCTATATAGGGAACCGCCTAGAATAAGGTATACTAGCTATATATATCTATAGTATAACCCGCCTTTATATATAGATATAAGTACTAGTATATAGTTCTGATATAGACTAGGCGGATAAAGCTTAAATCTATATAGAACTATATACTCTATCGTATATTAGGTATATATAAAGCTACTTATATAGTACTACTATAATATAAGATAGATATTTTAAGTATATATAACCTATACTAGATATAGAGGGTGGTATACTTTACTAAATAATAAGTATAGAAATATATAGAAAATATAGAATATACTTTCGCTATACTATATATATAAATTAGTATATATTACTATATACTTCTATATATAGACTAGAATTAAATATAGTATAGATACTTAATAGAAGCCGACTCTAGTTAAGTAGTATAAGAAGTCTAAGATAATCTAGATACTCTTCTAGACTAGTAGAGCCTTTAAGAACTTATAAAAAATATATAGTTATAGACCTAAAATAAATAGAAAGAGATACTCTATATCTACTAGATCTTCTAGTAGAATTAATATTTAGAGTAGATTTAAGGACTATAGAAGGAACTAAGTAAATAGATATATAAAGGGCTAATAAAAGTCTAAGTATCTATACTTATTTAAGTCTAAAGAGGCGCTATAGAACTTCTATACTATCTCTATAAGAGAGACGTTTCTAATATCTCTCTATAGTATAAGGCGTATAGCTAGAGAGATATAATATACTACTATCTAGCTATATACTCTAATCTCTATATATAATAGTAATAGCTTATCTATATTATAAAGACTTTAGATATTATATAATAGCTTAATAAGTACCCTAAGGATATCTTCTAATAGATACTTATATATCTACTACTTCTCTAGTACTAGTAGACCTAGAAATATATACTATAAGAGACCTAGTATATACTAGTAGTAACCTAATATATACTAGAAAACTCTAGAAGAACCCTAATTATTAGTTAAGGGTAGCTCTTAACTAATAACCTCTATACCTATATATACTATCTAAGGATAAAATAATAGTAATATAGACTATAGACTACTCTATAGCTATATACTTAAGATAAAATAGAGGTTTAATAAGATATAGTTATAGATATAAGGAAGTTTTTCTCTATAGAGTTTCTTCTTATATAGTAGCTTAGACTAGAGAAGGTATAGATCTATAGAGTACTACTATACCTAGCTATATAATAATATTATTATTATTATTATTATAATTTATTATAGCTTTATCTAAAGTTCTAACTTTATATCTATTAACTATAATAGTTTAGCTAACTTTACTAAGATTATATAATAATCTATACTTCTTTATAAGAATTAATAAGATATAGTTATCTTCTATACTAGTATCTATAAGGGTCTATATAGTTTTATTACTATTTACTATAGATAATAATATTTTTAGTAATATTAGGTCTTTACTTGCTAGAAGGTGCTATAGCTTCTTCTAATTATATATAATTTAGCTAAGAATGTGGTTAGATCTTATATACTAGTCTATTCTTTTTTTAGATTCTTATAGTTAGATAAAATATATTCTATTTCTCTATACTTATAGTAATAAAGTATACTATAATTCTACTATTTTATAATAGATATTATATTTAAGTCTATATCTTATTCTTTTCTATATTAAGAACTACTATTTTAATTATTTTAGTATTCTCTTAATACGTTTCTTCTCTAATTTATACTCTTCTAGTATTAATTATAGTAAGATTACTCTTAATTAAATATATTTAATTAATCTTATTTCTAATCTATATAGAGTTTATTAGTTTTATTTAGAGAGCTATATTTCTTAAGAATATAGTAGTATTAATTAGCTTTCTTCTCTAATTTATATAGATAATTAAAACTTAATAATACTATTTCTAGTCTTTTATAGATTAATAGAAGTAGTACTTTATAAAACTAGAATATATAAATATTTTTCTATAGTATAGAAATATTATTCTATAGGTTTTATAGATATTATAGTAGTTAAGTAGATATCTAGTTTAGTTATTATACTATACTTCTTAACTTAGATAGTATCTTTCTTTTATATTCTCTATTTATTCTAAGGGTATTTAGTATAAATATAGCTAAATATTTCTAGGTTATTATAGATAGTAGCTATACTTTCTTCTATCTATTCTATTAATTATAGAATTATAAATCTAGTTATTATTCTCTAAATAAAATATAATATACTTTAGTAGAAAAGAGTAGAGAGTTATTAAGAAAGTACTTTTTATAGTCTCTCTTCTAGTCTTTCTACTTCTTTTAGTTCTTCTCTATAAATATAGTTAGATTCTTAGATTTTAGTATATCTAGAGATAGAATAGAGTAAGTTAGTAATAAAGTAGCTAGAATTATAGAAGATTATTATAACTCTAGTAGAGAATAAACTAGTTCTATCTAAATTAGTATAGAAAGTTATTTAGCTACTACTATTTAGTATAGTTCTTTAAGAGACTCTTTAAGGTCTTATCTTTTTATAAGAAGTTTTATATATTTAGTCTATTCTTTAAGAATCTAAATCTCTTAGACTTAATTAGTAATATACTTCTATAGTTTAGTAATAGTTTATTATAATATCTTATATAGCTCTACTATAACTTATTATCTAGCTTTATATTATTAGAAGTTACTTAGTATATCTATTATTTACTTATTAGAAAGTTCTATAATTTAGTCTAATATCTCTACTTCTTAGTTAGAAATAGCTAGATTTAATACTAATTATAGAGAATTTCTATTATTTAATATAGTATTACTTATCTCTATAGTAGATAATATTAATCTTCTTAATTCTAGTTAAACTATCTTAACTATAGTACTATATAGAGAGTAATTTAAATATAAGAATAGAGTAATTAGATAGTAGTATAGTTAGATAGATTAATAGAGTATATTCTATTATAGAATAAATTACTACTAAACTCTTTTAGTAGAAATCTAAGAGTATATATATAAAGAGATACTAATCTATTTAGTATATAACTATTTACTATTTATTATACTATCTTCTAACTAAGTTAGCTAAGATATATATAGATCTAGTTATATATAAGACTAAGTTCTAATATTTAATACTAGTAGATCTAGATATATATATTAGAAGAAACTAGATATATACTAGATAGATTCTAGTATATACTAGAAGAACTCTAGAAGAACTCTAATTATTAGTTAAGGATAGCTCTTAACTAATAACCTCTATACTCTATATATACTATCTAAGAATAAAATAATAATAATATAGATTATAGATCTATAAATATACTCTATAGTTATATACTTAAGAAGATATAAAGACTTAATAAGATATAGTTATAGAGAGAAGGGAGTTTTTTCTTTTAAAAGGTCTCTTCTTATATAATAGCTTAGACTAGAGAAGATATATATCTATAGAGTAAACTACTCTACCTAGTTATATAATATTATTATTATTATTATCTATTCTATCTATATACTCTATATACTAGCCTAGTACTTAATAAGATCTAAGTAATTGAGATGACCTAATAGAAATCCCGTAAGATCGTGTGCTGGGTGGCCATAATTCCCATGGTGTCGTTGCCACCCACGACTTAATCAAGCAGCTATGGCCGCTACGAACTCATGTCAGTCCTCCAATGCCATTTTCAGTGCTGCAGATACCGCACAATTCGCACCAGGCAAAGATGAAGTCAAATCCCCAAGTCTCTCAAATGCGAATGCGTTAGCACGCTTTGAGTTTGAACCCGGCCTGTCCAAAGAAGGTACCAAGATCTTGATGATCGAGTGGGAGGACGATGTTTCGACCCGCACAATCTTGGGCTCCTGGCAGATTAGCTGGGAGAGCAAGACACATGTTCTCCCCGTCGACGACACGCCAACGCTCATTCCCCCTGAAGAACGCGCAGGTGAATTCCATAGGATGTACTTTCTCCTGCCGCCGGGCGTTCCAGTCCCTGGTATGGTCATACTAACCAAGGGTGAGACATATTGGCGCACAAACCCATTACCTGCGATCTTCCCACCAGAACTTGGCGCCAGTGCGAGACAAGCTGGAAAGAAGGGGGTTCTGCACACAATATGGGCTAAGAAGAGGCTACAGGCTTTACAGCGTGAGATTGATACAGAAAGCCAGAACAATGTTGAAGGGATCGGCTTGACAATGGCACTGCAAGAGAAGGAATGGATCGAGCAGAACTTTGGTGTTAGCGCACGCCCAAGCGGCCTGACCATCACGACTGGAGCCGGCACCAATTCTGCGGCGCCGTTGAGTCCAGGAAGCCCAAAGAGTCCTGGTGGTGGGCGTTTGATGGAGAAGCTGAAGGGCTTGAAGTTGAGCACCACAGATAAAGAACATCACTCCCCGGGAGGCATGTCTATTACCTCCTACGAGCCTAACACTTTATCACCCGAATCCTCTGATGTCGCTGTGTCCTCATTCTCGACATTCAAGGGTGCCATGCCTAGCCAAGTCACCACAAAGCTTCAATTCCGCCGTAAAGTCTCAACGCAAGGACCGCCTGCAGAAATTCTGGCACAACAACAACAGCAACATAATATAGGCATCGGGTCGCTCGATGCATTTGCGGTGGCACCGGCATGGGAGTCACGGGGCATACTCCAATATTCGTCGGCATTAGATGACAAAGCCGACGACGACAAAGAAGACGGTCTTTTCGCTGTCCCGATATCTCCGAGAAGCCCAGAAATGACCAAGAGCCCGTTCTCCTTCGCACGGAATGACATATCCAAGTACGTAGCAGGAAGACAGGCAGCGTGAAGGAGTGAGGCTGTTTGAATGCCGGCTAATACAATGCTCCAGAAGGATTATGTGTATCATGTCTCTTAATGTTAGGGGCGCTATGGCGTTTGGCATATTTTGACGTGACATCTGCATGGCGTGGCAGGAATACTACGAATCGACACCGTGGTCGTTGCCATGTAGTTTTGCTGTGATATTTGGTACGCTCCGATGTCAACAGACGCATGACCGAAAAAAGTGGGGCCTGGCGAATGCACATTCTAGGGAATGGCCAAACATGGCCATCGTTACATTATTCCATAAACAGGGCAATGTTCCGATAAATGTAGTAATTTTCTAGGCAACACAGAGCATGCAAATCTAACTCTTCTTGTCCCACTCACCTTTCATATGTGCATATTTTCGTATTCGTATCAACGCTCGCAAGCGGAGAAACCTCGCGGCAGCTAATTAACTGAAGCTACGACCGACGGATGTGGTCATTTTGTCATCACCACAAAATCGCGCCTCTGGACACTCAACGCGTTGAGTTTGGTCGCCTATTGTCGTAGACTCCTGGCAATGTCGAAACGACAAGCCGAAACACCACTCGAAGAGCTCGATGGTCGGTCGCCGCTGCTTAAGAAACATCGTACGGGCAACGACACCACGACACGAGCGCTGCCCTTCCATGAATATACAATCGGACATCGCGAATCACAGGCTTCAAGCATATCAACGCCTTCCTCAGCAAACTCAGAGATACTCGCTAAAGCTCACGAGAAGGTTAAGTACGACGAGGATGACGAGTCTGCGATTTCAACGACAAGGCGGCAGATGGCGCCGGAAGAAGGCTACGACGACCTCTACCTTGACACCATAAACAGATCAGTGCTTGATTTTGATTTCGAGAAACTATGCTCCGTCACGCTATCGAATATCAACGTATACGCCTGTTTAACATGTGGGAAATATTTCCAAGGAAGGGGACCAAAGTCATTCGCCTATTTTCATGCACTGGAAGAGGATCACCATCCATACATTAATATGGAGACGAAAAGGGTTTACATATTACCCGAAGGGTACGAGGTCAAAAGCAAAAGTCTGGACGATATCAAATACGTCGTTGACCCAAAGTACACGAAAATGGAAATGCAAACATTGGACATGAAGAGAGAGCCAGTGTGGGATCTCATGGGCCGCAAATATACCCCCGGATTCGTAGGCATGAACAACATCAAGGCCAATGATTACTTCAACGTTGTATGCCATGCTCTCGCTCACGTAACACCTCTACGAAATTTCTTCATGCTCGAAGACCTGTCCGCGAAGCCACAGCTCGCTCAACGATTTTCAATACTCATACGTAAGATCTGGAATCCACGCGCCTTCAAGTCTCATGTCTCGCCCCACGAACTCCTCCAGGAAATAGCTCTTCGATCTTCGAAACGGTACACCCTCACAGCACAATCTGATCCTGTTGACTTTCTTTCTTGGTTCCTGAATCATCTACATCTTGCGCTCGGTGGCTTAAAGACCAAACCTTGGACCTCCATCGTTCAGCGTGTCTTCCAGGGTCAGCTCAAAGTTGAATCACAAGCGATCACTGCTCGCGCTGCCCCCGGCGATCGTCTTCGATTCGAAGATGCAGACGTCCAAACTCAACTCTCACATTACCTGATATTGACTTTAGATCTTCCCGCAACGCCCCTCTTTCAAGACGATCAGGACAAGAACATCATCCCGCAAGTTCCGCTCACGACCATACTAAACAAATATGACGGCGTATCTGCGCAAGAACGACTAAACACCCGTGTGCGCTACCGCCTGATCCATCCACTTCCTCCCTACCTCCTCTTCCATGTGAAACGCTTCAGCGTCAATAAATTCGTGCACGAACGCAATCCTACCATCGTCACCTTCAACCCTCGCTCGCTAAATATGACGCCCTATGTTGAACCAAACCCGGCAATACATCCATCCATGGAACCCATATTGTACGATTTGATTGCGAATATCACACACGAGGCTGTGAGAACGCGCGACGATAGTGTCGAAGGCGAACAAGAGCGCAAAGTGTGGCGCGTACAGTTGCTTGATCGAGCTCTGGACGAATGGATTGAAGTGCAAGATCTATTTGTAGAGAATGCGAGGGCGGAGACGCTATTTACGAAGGAGAGTTACGTGCAGGTTTGGGAGAGGAGACGGTTGCCAAACCGAGCTCGAGATAAGGGTAGCGGGAGGGCTTGACAGCAGCGGCTTTATGTATGATGGCAGAGCTCTAGTTTGACACACAAATAGGCTTCTAGTAATGTTAAAATGCGCTATACGCCTACCATAGGAGTGCGTCTCACAACAGTGACCGGAGGGACCGAATAGCCCTAGTAGACGAGCACCCCTCTCATTCTTCAGTGGGTCAAGCGCAATAAGCTCTTATAATAGGCTCCCAAGATGACGACAAGTTTGCCAGCGTTATATATAGCTCACCACATAAACACAGAGATGCCGTTCACGTCCAAGATTACAAGACTCGGAAAGTCGAGTAGCAGGTGTATCTAGCGAAGTTATATATCGGACTAGAGTACTTGGTACGCCGAGACAAACAAACTACAGGTTTCGGATATCCTAGTAGCTAATTTACTTTTCACGAATTACTATAGCTAAACTATATAGACTCTCTATACTTAGAGTATAACACGATTAAAGCAAAGCTTATAGAGTTAAAAACGTGGTCTAAGTTATAAATCGAGCCCTTCTTACCTATTTTAGTATAACTCTTAGTATATATGATAATATAATATATTATTTATTAAGAGTAATAAAGTACTTAGTACTAATATTATCTTAAAAATATATAATACTAAATAGACTTCTCTTAAGAGTAGAAAAACTTCTTTATACTCTCTATAAGATTAAGTTTATTAATTTAGAGTAATATAATAATTTATATATCTTAATTAATAGAATATAATAAGTATAAAAAACTTCTCTTATACTCTAAGAAACTAAAACTAGTTAATTTAGAGTAATATAGTAATCTATATATATTAATTAATAGAGTATACTAAGTATAATAACTTTTAATATATATATATAGTAAATAAT